TCGCTAGAACAATTGCTGCCATCGACCTCGGAGACACTTGTACACTCCCTTGCTACGGTAAAGGCCATCTAACTAACTGTCTCCCTGGTTTTTGCTTAGAGAGACCTCCCCTTGTCGACCAATCGATCTTTGTCAACATCACGGCCACTGGAACCGTCGCGGCATACATCTGAACACGAAATTGAATATTTAGAGCAGCGAATAAGACAATACTGGTGTACGGCGCAGAGGAGGATAAAATCCACAATTTATACTACAAGGAAGCGTATAATTTGGTTTCACAAAACTTTTCCCGTTCTCGAATAATTTTGAATCCGACCTGCCGTTACACTTGTATTCAGGGTTCCAAAACTACAAGCCGTATACTTTTCCGCGTAAGGAAAACCACACATTTTTCTATCGTATTAAGGGGAGGCCATATGAGGTTCATAAAATTAAGCAGTAGATTTGAACAACATTATTACCTTTACAATCCACATTGGTAAATGCCGAGACGACGTTTTATAAAGAGCCATTTCACGGTATTAAAAAATTTCAAAATTAGAAGCTTTTTTTAAAACCGAATTATGCACTTCCTTCGAGTATAAAAATTGAAAGAAGACGTAATTTTCTACTGAATCAGCAAAAGAATGAATATTTGTGTGTGTATTTTTTATGAAATATAGTTGGATCTTAAAGGGCATCAAAAATCGATGAAAAAAACATGCTACTTAAGTAGTCATTTTTATGGAGGATGGCTTTTGGATGCAGCTGGAAAGACATTTGTTCGAAAGCTGGCGTCCTGGGGTTGCTGAATTATTATAGGATTATGCTGTACGATGATTGATTTTACAACCTCACTTAATTAATCTTTTCGGAACGGAAACGCTTTTTGGAATTTCTGTTGAGATTTCATGAGTAAGCCCACTTACTGCACGGCGCAGATGAAGAGAAAATCTACAAAAGTCAAACAAGGAAATTCGACTTTTTGACTTCTGCTGCCTCCGTGGCAGGACGGGATTCCAGGCACGGAGATAGTGGAAATGACCGACCCTCCCAGTGTCTACACCATTCTAAAGCAAATACAACTGTGCTTGATTGATCACGTCACGAAGATGGATCATGAGCGCCTGCCAAAGCGATTAGTGTACGGCGACGTAGCTACGGGTGCTCGCAGACAATGCAAACAAGAACGACGATACGAGCACACCTTAAGGACCTCACTCAAGCACCTGCACACCAAACCTGAGATCTGGCAAAGCTTCATTCATAATCGACAGGTTCGTCGCATGGCCGTAAGGATTGCAGCAGTCATCTTCAAAGCCAACTGAATAGCGAAGATCAATGGGAGGTGGGAGTCGCAGACTAACGCTGAAAATACCCAAACCCCGGTTAACATGCCCACACTGTCAATTTACACTCAAGTCACGGAGGTGATCTGCTGGACACCCCCGAAACCACCATTAAAACAAATCCCGCAACTGAATTTCCATGGCACAAAACGTCTCCATCATTAGCAACGTCGCGGAGGACATGTTTTTCACCTCTCGACGCTGCAACACTGCCTCCCAGTTCCGGCTTGCTGCGACCGATCAGCCTCGCTCCAGTCGTGCAGGCAAACAGAGAGATAGGCTGCGCTGCAGATACGTAGAGTTAGACGTTAATTACACCGGCACCAGCTCAACGGTCTCCGATAAGTCTTCGAGAGGCTCCCATTACCGTTGCAGATGTATGCTGAATGCCTCAGACGTGGGCCTTCACGTCACGTCGGCTACCGGAGCCACTCTCACCGCCCAGCTGGCTGACGTGCTCAGATAGCCGATTCGTGCATGGACGAGAGGCGATAGTGAGGAATCCGTCTCCATGGTAAATCGGCGCATTTTCCACCGTAATGAATCTGTGCGCGCGCAAACCAGTAAGGATACGCAATAAACCGTGGTTTTAAAGGTTGCCAACTGGGGGGTTAGGTTCAGTACATATGCTAACTCATGAAATGTTAACCAAAATTTCGAAATGCGTTCTCGTTTCGAAAAGATAAATTAAGTAGTGTTGTAAAACTAATCATAATGCAGCATAAATCTATAATGATCCAGTTACGGCAGGGTGTCGGCTTTCGAATGAACTTATTTTCGGTTGCATGCAAGATCTATACTCTGCAGAAAATGACTACTTAAGTAGCATGCAATTTTCTCACTGATTTTCGATGCCCTTGAAAATTCAATTATATTTCATGGAAAACATGCATAAAAATATTAATTTTTTTACTTATTCGGTAGAAAATCAGGTCTTCTTCCAATTGCATACTCAAAAGAAGAGTATGATTTGGTTTTAAAAAACTTTTCTAGTTCCCGAATAATTTTGAACCCGACCTGCTGTTACACTTGCATTCAGGGTTTCAAAACTACAAGCTGTATATTTTCCGTGTACGGAAAACCATGCATTTCTCTACGGCGTTAAGAGGAGACTATATGAGGTTCATAAAATTAAGCAGTGGATTTGAGCAATATTGTTAACTTTACACGCCACATTCGTAAATGCAGATACATGACGTTTCATGAACGACCATTTAACGGTTTTAAAAAATCTCACAATTAGAAACTTTTTTGAAACCGAATTATACTCCTCTCTTGAGTATTAAATTGGAAGAAGACGTGATTTTCTACCGAATAAGTAAAAGAATGAATATTTTTATGCATGTTTTCCATGAAATATAATTGAATTTTCAAGGGCATCGAAAATCAATGATAAAATTGCATGCTACTTATGTAGTCATTTTCTGCAGAGTATAGATCTTGCATGCAGCCGAAAATAAGTTCATTCGAAAGCCGACACCCTGAGGTAACTGGACCATTATAGATTTATGCTGCATCATGATTAGTTTTACAACACTACTTAATTTATCTTTTCGAAACGAGAACGCATTTCGAAATTTTGGTTGACATTTCATAAGTTAGCGCATCTACTGTAGGTTCATCACAGGAGTGAGGCTCAGACCGTGAAATCTCCCTCTCACAGTAGCCTTTGTGGATCTCTCACTTAAGTGGAGTCAGTGATTCTTGCTCCTGAGTGTAGTCGGGTGATGTGCGACACGTCCTTACAGCCTGCTTAGCCGCTGTGCACTTGTCCACTCACTCACCGTGACACGGTAAATGTTGCGGGAAGTGGGGTAGATGTCGTCCAATCCTGTTCCAACACAAATTCGCACTCTCTACTCGTCGCTGGGCACACCGCATGAAGCACGGCGTTCCCATTCGCACAACCCGATTTCCGCCAAATCCTTCTCTGCCGATGGCATGGCAGACGACTCTAGTCAAGTCAGTCCAGCCGACCTTTTCGCTCATGTGAGACTGTCGGTTCATCGTTTGTGGACTCAAAGCGCTCTTGACACGGCTAGCATTTTCCGAGGCGACTCCGGCTGTCTATTTCGCTGTGGCGTCTAAACGTGGAAGTACAAAAAATGAGTAGTTGAGTTCACCTAGTGACCAACACGTCCGGCGATCAAGCCATGAGACAGTAGGCAGTCACTATGAAAAACAAACTTTGGAGGGGCTCCTCTTGGAAACACTACGGCCACTACTCGCACATCAGCTCCCCGGCGTGTCTCGGACGCCTCAGCGCCCTCCCAGGTATGCCATCCTTTTCCCGTTCGCAGTGTCTAATCACTTCCGATCACGAACCTTCTGCCCTTCACCATTTACTTGGCTAACGTGCAGGTCGAAAATCCGTTAAGGTGGTTCAATAATTTGTCATTTAACGGATGCCTCTAGACGGACATCATTTACTGCCCCATCAACTGCGCACAACGGCTTCCGTTCGTCCTCGCGGAGTTTGGCGCTCAATGCAACATGAGCCGAGGTGGATGCCACCTCGAGAACCACCTAGCCGTCAGAAATTCTCGGACACAGAGTCCCTAGGACTCCATGTTGAGGCTTAGTAATCGTGATCAGTGCTGTATGTGGAGTGACTGGGGGTGATTTGGACTCGATGGCGCTCTTATGAACGTAAGATTCGAGTCGCCTGATGCATCGTGCAGGCAACCGGGTCGTGCTTAGCACAGGTAGCTGCCAGCCACCGCGCCTAAAACCACCCCCGGTCATCTTGACACTGGCTTGCCACAGAAGCCTGGTGGGTGGATTCTGCGCAATTCCGCTTCACCATAAACTAATCCACGTGCAAGTCGTCGGTGCTACACCTCCTGCGTGGAGCACACGGCAGACGTCGGCGCTCTCGACGGTCGAATCCTCACTCGCTCACTCACTCCACCGGGCGAGCCTCCAACTCAGCACAGCCGCATGCGGAAACAATCCCGTGTCGGCGGCGATCCCCTACTGGCATGGGTTACTCGGCCAGCCTACGGGTTCGCTGTCATCTTTACTGATCCCTCAGCGTTGTTCGGAGTGTAAGCATAGCAGCTGAACACACTTATCTGAGCAAAGCTTCGCTCTACACGACACTAATAAAAAAGAGACGACGATATCACTTTCCTCGTTTTCTGTGGAACATAATCTCACAGAGACCCATATTTTTATTATTAACAATTAATGTCTCACGCCGGACCATCCATCATAACTCTTCTCCAAAAATGTATGTGAGTGTAGATTTTTTCCCCCAGAATCAGGTACCGCAATCCCATCAAACAGCTGATTCAGCGCCCAAAAGCGAGTAGAACTGCAATACCTTCAAATAAGATCCTTCAGGTAAAGACAAAAAGAAAAGCAACAACGCGCAGCATTCATAGGAAATGTTAACACAATTTCATTGTAAGGTAGGAATTTGCAGAAAAGCCCCCAAAAAATCACGACAGCGGACTGTCGACGTCCATAAGCGGGAAGCCAAGAAAGTAAAGTACACTGTTGTGATTAGAAATTCGACCGGGAATGCAGAATAGAATATGGAAGTATAAATGATTGATATCTCGGTCACCCGACTTGCTGGGAACACATCGGACGCGCGGTGATAGCGCAAACCAGACTCGAGTTGGCAAGGAAAGACAGGACGCAGGCGAGGTACCAGCACGACAGTTATTTGAGCTGCCTCATACGGTTCATGAGGTCTTCCAGACTCTCCTCGTTGGTATTAACTACGGGCCCTTCGACGGCCGTAGCAGGGCTAGCAGAGGCAGCCAAATCGCCAGTGGGCATCACAACGGCCGCGCCAGATTCCTCACCGCCCTCCTCCACCAATTCAATCTGAAACTCATTTTCAGCATGCAGAGGCTGGGTCTCGGCGGCAGCTCGCAGGCGCTCGACCTCTGCCCGAGCTGCTATCTTCAATTCCGCGTCCCAGTCAGAGTCCTCCGGCAGACCCCGAGACAGCAGTTGGACTCGTCGATCAGTCTGTCGCTTGCGACACCAGGAGTCAGCACAGGATGGATTCGGTCTTAGGGAAACCCGGTAGACTGTGTCCTTGGCAGCACCGTACCCAAAGTAGCTAGAGACCTGTGAAGAAAGAGGGGAAAGATAAATTTGTCTTGCACGAGCGATCGGCAATCTATAGGAATTAGATGCTGACAAGTGGCTCTGAAAATAGGGCGGACAGGTACCTACCACGGCCGAAAAAAACTGCAAAACCGATGATGGCATTAATGGAATTTCGGGGACTTGGGCAACTACAAAATGTCCCCATGCGCCCACCACAGGCAAAGAGTCCACCTAAAAACAATTCGTCGCCACTAATGGGATGCAACAGGGTTGCGCTTTCGTCCCAAATCTCTTCGGTCTTATATCCTACGCGATGGCAAGAGGGCCGTTCAGTTATCGCATCAATTATCGAACCGAAGGTACTAGCCGTATGCATGCAATCATTAAAACTTCTAAAGCCTCCCATCCACTGCTAAATGTACATGGAACACAACACTTGAGATGGAAATGCAGGGAGGTTTGGGCATTTTCGCCTCCAAATGCACGAGTTTTTGATTAATCACTGAAATGCAATAAACGGCTAAACACGCTGGCTGGCGGCAACTGTTTACTACACATAACCGACGGCAACTGTCAACGACTATTGACTTTCAGCTGCAGGTCACTTCGCGTACCTGGAAAGCACAATCGTGTGGAATAGCAAAATCAGCGACGAAATGGCAATCCCAGTCTCCCTTGCATTTGTCGGTAATAACGTACTGTCTACATCATGCGTCGCTGTGCGGCTGCTGGTTGGGCTCGAGAGAGAGCCCGTAAGGCACAACGGAACGAGTGAGTTCCGTAAGAACTCCGTGGGACACACACGCGGTGGACGTCGTAGCGGTAGCGGCGGTCGAACTGTCGTCTAGCGTCCGGCAGCCACGGTCAGTTGTGCAGACTGCGTGAATCAGCACCTTATTAGGGACTTTTTTTGCGGTCTCCGCCTCTTTGAGGGAGTAAGCAGTGCGTCCTTGCACAGATCTGCTAAGACCTCACCGGCGGCTGCTGAAGTCCACTACGCCTTCATGGCTGCTCCTTACATGAGTTGGACAAACGACTGCATTTGGCTATCGACCTTGAAAATGGTATCTTAGACAATATATGTTCATCATATTCATTTCCTTGGACTACGATGGTTCGGCCGACGTTCGATAATATATCCCGAAAATGGTACATGTGAAAGTATGTTCTCCTTTTTTATTTTCTTGGTGGCAAAGTACGTCAAAAGGCCGAAAGAAAACGCGCCGCATTTATGCAGTGTCCTCTACCGATATGGTACAAAATGCAATCATAATGACTAACGGCTGTACTTGTAATATTCGACGATGTGGGGCTAAAGCAGGAAATACTCGGTATGTATATGTGCACGTCATGAACAGCATTGGACGATAACGTTTAAGTGATGCCGGGGGGGGGGGTTGATCTCAGGAGGTGCAGTTGTATTTCGGTCTAACCAAAGGATGCGCTGTTGAAGAGACATGTACCGTGTGCGTTCACACAATTTAGCCGATCACTGAAGGTCATCGGGATGTTGCCGCTGTCTAAGGCATAGCTTCATGAACAACAGCACCCACCAAGTCCATCGATGCGTATAGCGGGGTCCCAAATTCATCAATGAGGAAGACCCATCACAGGGAAAAAGTGTACTTGGCATGACTGTACAACCTCAAAGTGGATCCCGACCCACCCGATGTTGAAAAAATAACCCACTAGGCATGAAGAACTGTCCGCAATTTTCAAACGAGCGGCGGTGAGTGCGCTGCCTACGTGAACCTATGCCTGTCATCCAGTAGGACCGCTGTGCTCTGTCTGTAATTTTTCAGCTGATAGAGGGAAAATAGGCGGCCCTGCAAAAAGTGGCAAGAGTTACTGGTGCTGAAGCTTATTAAAAGTGTGAGCAAGATGTGGTTATGTAGCCGCACCTAATGGACAGAAGACTGTTGAGATTAGGATTGGTTAGGGGTTGGGCAACTACTTCTCAACCACTCAAAGTACAACCGAGCATTCCTAATGGCTTTTCTTTTGTATACAATTACTTAACCTCGTCGCCTGTGCGTTCGCCGGCCCCACCTGTAAAAACCCCTATTACCACCGGTCCCGTATTACAGGCGACTGGAGTTTGATTGCCTCAGATGCGGCTACAGACAGTCTGGTTGATAGGGCAAAATGGAAGTGTAATCTTGCCTCGCCGAAAGACAGGAGGAACTTCAGCACGTTTTGCACCATGAGTCCGGCGACGATAGCCATTGTGGTAGGCAGTGAAGCAGCACATACACCATCCCGCTTGAGCACCTTAGTGTCGTTCAGACCCGAGGCGACCACCAGAGGAGGCATGCACTCAAAACACGGTGTTCGCCCGGGATACATTAGTTGGAAGTGGCAGTTGAGGGCATCTTCGCTCACGCCGGCCTCAAACCAGACCTGAAAGAGCAGGTGGAGAACTGTTAAAATAACAAACGAAAAGCGTACTCTACCAGGTAAGCATCGGTGTCTAGAAAAGAGGAGGTCTGACATGAAGTAGGTCGCTCTGAACTTTTATTAGCGCAGATAACTCTTCGATACGGTGCTTGCTGACTCACGCCACTTTGGGGGGGGGGCTTTTAGGCGACAATCGCGGTGATGATGATGATGATGATGATGATGATGATGATGATGATGATGATGATGATGATGATGATGATGATGATGATGATGATGATGATGATGATGATGATGATGATGATGATGATGATGATGATGATGATGGTTGTGGTGGTGGTGGTGGTAGTAGTAGTAGTAGTAGTAGTAGTAGTAGTAGTAGTATTAGTAGTAGTAGTAGTAGTAGTAGTAGTAGTAGTAGTAGTAGTAGTGGTAGCAGTAGTAGTAGTAGTAGTAGTAGTAGTAGTAGTAGTAGTAGTAGTAGTAGTAGTAGTAGTAGTAGTAGTAGTAGTAGTAGTAGTAGTAGTAGTAGTAGTAGTAGTAGTAGTAGTAGTAGTAGTAGTAGTAGTAGTAGTAGTAGTAGTAGTAGTAGTAGTGTCGGCGCGTTTCACAGCACGACCGGACGAACTAGATAACTAGACACTGGGGTGATATAAAATGCTTTTGGTGCCACTTCCGGCGTTAGGGCTGCGCTCTCTCACCAACTCTTTTAAAAACTACATGACAGGATTTTTAACAAGCGTTGGTAGGCCATCGTCTGTGCAATATAAGGCCGTGGCCTTTGCACTGTGAGCCATAACTGTATTGATGACACCGCGATACTGTCGATTTCCCTTGCAAAAATCGAATCTGCAACGTATAAGACAGATGCGGAGGTACTGGAGGTGGGATTTAGAATTAATTCTCCCAGAAAAGACTACTGGCTACAGTTTTGAGGGGGGAAGATATCTGCCCGGTCACAGTAAACGCGGTAAGGCTCTCAAGATAGTAGGCAACTACTGCTATTGCGAGTCAAGCCTTCTGCTGAAGACGTAAGGGTGGGGATGAAGTTGGTCATCAGCTCTCACATTAATTGGGTATCACCGGTAGCCATTCTTGGCCCCGATGTTGGTTAACGAATGGCCCACAGTTAATCCAATAGTTGACGGGTCCACGCAAGAGAGGTACCTATATTCACCGAATATAAGTCAGATAGATAATCTCGACTCTAAAATGACCCGCTAAGAGAAAACAGATGGTAAGCACACCTGATTGAGCTCGTTGCAAGCCTTGTTGATGGTCATACGAGCCTCGAAATTGTCAACACAACTGAGCACCAAGTCGACTGGCCCAGATGCGTTCTCCTTGCCCCTGAGGACGTTTAAAAAGTTTTCGTAGTTTTCCACCAGGGTAATGTCGTAGTTGTAAACCTGGATCTTCACGTCCGGATTGATGGAGCGTAGTGTGGCAGCCGCTGCCTCCACCTTACTCAGTCCTGCTTGGTGAGGCTACAAAGAGGGTAAAGTAAGGTGTTATGGGGAAAGGAACACTGAAGAAGACAGGGAATACAGAGATGGCCATTTCCGCCTTACTAGTCGTCGTCCGCCAGATATATCTAACCCAATGCTTCTACAAAATTGGGTTTTAGTCATCAGTTGATGGGATAGTACAGAGTTACAACACGTTCGTCTTTCCCCAGCAGCGTCTCCTTAATCCGCAAACAGCTACGGCAGATGAAAACAGTGAATACTTGTGAGAGTTGGGAGTTACGGAAGTAATGACGACATCAAAAAGACAGACCCTATTCCAAGTGCGGACAAGTGAAGACAACCTTAAGGATGAAAATAGTCGCCTCAAATCTTCCACGATCATTTACCCTGAGTACAGCTCTTCGGAGAGTGATTAGCTTCTGCTATCATGTGGTCTAACTTCCTCTCGAGCGACGGGGTAAAGACGAAATCAGAAGAAATTAGCCAACTGATAGCCTAAAACAAGTCTGACTGTTGGCCTAAAACTGGGACATCTGAAGCGTCATCGGCTGGCAGATAGTGGAACAGTCTTTAGTAAGGTTGGCTACATTGCAAGCGAGCCACGCAGGGCAAATACCTTCAGAGTGGCTAAGGGTCAATGTTGCAAATGGACCACCTATAAAAGGGTCATAAACAATAGCGGTACTGCATGGTCTATGGTGCCTATCCTCCTAAGAGGCTTAGGCCGTCGCCAGGCACAATCCAGAAATACTAAAACTGTGTGAAGGAAGGCCCGATGGTGACGTCGACCTTAGAATCTAGAAACTGCACGAAGTTATACCTCCAGGAAATCTCCACATGCAACAACTCTCTGTTGACCGCGATTCAACCAGGTTTTCGGGCGTCCGAGAAGCCATGGTCTGCGCAACCCGGTTGGACTTGCTGGGGGGAGGGGGGTGGCGTTAACGTCATAGGGAAGAGGGGAACCATAGCCAAAAACTACTACAAACGCGGCCATCGACGAAACCCCTACCGGATGACGTTAGATCAGCCGGTCTGAACTCCAAAATTCGGGATTTTTACAAAGAGAATTTTCTGCATAGACGCGGGACACCGCTCATGCGTTCAGAAGATCCGCAGTGCTGCAAGGGAGACCGAACTGCAGGCTTGCGCACGTGATAGCAGACGCGTTACCCACGATACAATCTGCCTCACGGCCCAGCACTACGCACAATCTTTATAGAAATTAGTTAAAAACTGATTCCACCGCCTTCGCCTTTCTAAGTTTTTACCAACAGTATTAGGGCAACCGACGGGCGAACGCTTCATCTACTGCCTGTTACGTTTAAATAATTTGTTGTCGCTGATCCGTAGTCTACTATATTTTGCACCTCTGTTATCATCTGTACGCCGTTGTTCATCTCTATCTGAGTGTCAGGTAACCGTTGCTTATGGGCAGGACGCTGCAACTGGCTAAGCCTGTGAACTTAACGCAACGACGCGATGTTCCAATTCACCACGATTAACAACCCTACTGATGTATAGGCTGTTATAGAAAATATTAGTGGGCACACACGCCCGCACGCGTGCGCTTGACGAGCGTACTCTCAAGTGTCAGAGACTTATGGAAGATGTGGGTATACCTGGTCAAATAAGAGTCGAATTTTTAGTAGCCTGGAATAACTACAACTGAACAAATAAAAGTTGAAACCTATCATCAGTCGAGCGTAGAATTGGTCTAACACTAAACAATACATGAGACGGTAATAATACCTGGAAGAAGAGTCTGTTCATATTTGCCAATTCCACTTTGTCGTAGTCGAAAAGGATCAAACGACCAATGCCACAACGTGTGAGCATTTCCGATGCGACCGAGCCAACGCCTCCTACACCAACAACAGCAACAATCTTTTCTCTTATCCTACAAGGAATGATCGACATAAACGAAAGGTAAGAAAAGTGATAGACGAAAAGGTGCAAGTGTTGGGAGATAAAAGATCTTATGGTTATGTTTGGAGAATGTGTTCGATGACGTGGAGATCGAGTCGCTTAGCAGTGTCGCAAAATACCAAAGAGGTGAGGACAGTAGCGCGTCATACACTGCGCCAGTTGGCTACGCGCGAGATGATGTGAGAAAGGCTCTTAATTCCTGTTCCCAATCAACCCATTTAAATAAGCAGGGCTGTAAAAGCAAAAGACAAAAAATGAGGAAAGGAACACAACGTACTGAGCGTAATTTTCCACAATTCCCATCTTTTGTAATGCCATCAGACGACTGTAAGGGTTAGAGCTGACAACCTCACCCGACATCTGTTCAATAACCTCTCTGCCGGGGCGAGATTTTGAGAGCTCTGAGCGCAGCCTGGAAAGTTCTGCCTTCAGGTCGGAAACTTTTGTTGACTTCGTTTTCGGCATCTTTCTTTAAAAAGATAATTTAATGTTCAACATTTAAAAAGCATCACGATCCTGTAGTTGAAATTTAAAAAGTACGAAAAAGGCATCGCAATTGCGGAGCATGCCTGCAGTAGAAGTGAAAAAAACACAGCCTAAAGGCTTGTCAAAAGAAAGCAGGCAGACCGTCCATTAGTTCAAACTGCTACCGCATTTATGAAAAGCTTTAAACTGGTGAAAAAGAAAAAAAGCGGCGGGTGAGAATGCTCATTAGGCACACAACTATAGCGGCAGACACTCAAATGTTTTATTTGCATGTCATGCCGTAGGGCAACGGGAAGGCTGCGGAAGAACTGGTTTTCGGGTTCTCTATATGCAAAGCAGTAAAAGACCATGTAAAAGGCTACTGGGTAACAGGTACGTGAGATTCCCGTGAAGATTGTCCGACAGGGATCCCTAACTTTAATCTGAAACCAAACCCATTAGCCTTACGCTAGCCCTAAACCTGAGAGTATCCCTAGATCCTAAATAAAACCCATATGCAACTATAACTAACAATAAGTGTGACTCTAAATCAGCAAAAGGACCACCGCCACGTTATCAAGTTAACAATAGGCGCCCTTTTAGCACTGGTTCCGCCTATGATAATGAAAATTTAACTTCGGGTACCAAGCGACCCTTGTAATTAAATGGCATATATCAGATAAAAAATCAAATATATGCGGAGAGGTGCTTAAGTTGTATGGCGGAGGCTACATTGATCGAATGTGAATCAATGTCAATCATAGGGGAGAGAGAAAGGAGGGACGTATGCGTTGAACAGTAGACACATTTTATTGTAATTGAAATAAATAACACGTCATAGAAGACCACTTACTGTCAATAGAAGCGAAGAGACGAGTCCCAGGAAGTAGTCTTGAAGAAGGAGACACGATCGCCGGGACAAGAGTTTTATTAGCCTGACGTTTCGGATTCCTACTCGAATCTATCATCAGAGACAAAAAAGCAGAAACGTTTCTGCCTTTTTGTCTCTGATGATGAATTCGAGTAGGAATCCGAAACGTCAGGCTAATAAAACTCTTGTCCCGGCGATCGTGTCTCCTTCTTTAAGAGCACTTACTGTCCCTTCGACTTCGCGAACAGTGCCCGTAAACCCTGCAAACGTACAGAGCTTTAGTTAGGGGTTTGCGAACATTGCAGGGAAGAAGTGGCTATTAGCTATAATACGGTCAATTACTTAATGCAACGTCTAACGCTATTTTCCCCGCGCGTTTGTAGAGACAGGCATGAGTGGACTACCCAAGAGAAGATTATCGTAACGCACTCGACGCCCAGCTATCACAAGGGCTCTCGATTATTTAAGTGGTGAAGGCCTATCATCGCCAGTAAGGAACAAGAAGTTTCACATTAAAAAATTTAGGAACCGTTTGGGCCCAGTGGTGATGGAAATAATTTTTTCGACACACTTTCTCTCGTAGAGGACACTATCACCGAAGGTAAGACCTAATGAAACTTAAACGTTATCCGTAAACTGGCGTGAACTAGCACTTAGTGACCGCATGGCCGACTTGGAGCAGACGGCTGAACTAGTATGCCAACATTTGGCACACATCTCGCGAAAACAGGATTTTGCCTCCGAAGGTATACGACGTCTGGTGGGCGGTCAACGGAACTTGGAGTCCACTGTTACTTGACGGCCGACTACCAGTACCACGGTTGCTACTCGACTTCTGGTAAATCTCTTAGGTCGCCCTTTAAGAACGGCTGCGGATTCCCGCGTAATAAACGCCAGACTTGTGAATAGTGA